TCTGAGAACGTTATAAAAAGATTGGTTCAGATAGCTGACATGTTTGGTAAAGCGAAGATCCAGATCAAACCACAATCCTAAATTTTGTATCTCGTCCACGGAGGGAATTATATCGTTTTCGATGCGAACTTGAAAAGTAGAGTTGGTGAGCTCTCTGTTCTTTTCAGCTCCGAACATCATTATTGCGGATATGTCAGAATTGAGCTTGAGCTTATGGGCAGTAGAAATGTCAAAGATGGCTTGGAGATCGTTATTAATATACGACAGAGCAGGTATAGACTCGCCAGGCGAAAAAGAGAAATATAACTGCGTGTCGTCTGCATAGTGATGTATATTGCATTTTTTACGGACAGATAAAAGTTACAAATATACAAGCTGAAAAGCAAGGGCCCAAGGATATATCCTTGTGGCACCTCCTTCAATATCAATGGAGCATCTGAAATAACTTCATCCATAACAACTCTTTGAGTGCGATTCTTCAGATAGTTTTCTAAGAGAGACACTGCTTTCCGAGAAAAACCGAAGTAGTTTGTCACACAATATCTCATGATCTACAGTGTCAAATGCCATGCTGTAATCTAGAAGTATTAAACAGGTCAAATTTTGTTATCTGCAGCTTGAAAAATATCGTCAGTAATTGACAGAAGAACCATGGTGGTACTATGCTGAGTTCTGAATCCTGATTGTACAGATGTTATAATATAATTTTCCTTGACGTACTCATTAATCTGATTTTTCAGAATCGATTCCACTACTTTAGAGAGATACGGTAGAATTGTAATTGGTCAGAAAGTATAGTAGGTGAGTTACGGCTTAGCCAGAGGGATAACCATTCCATCTTTCCAACATTTTGGAACTGTTAATGATATGCATCTACGATTGTTTTATTGCAGTATTTCAAAAGCCTGGGTTCACTTATATTCTATTTCGTTGATAAGATAAAGTTTCATCAAGGTTTTCATTGAGATATAATACTATTTGTCGGCAAAAATATGAATTCATATCTAAAAGACGAGTGTCCTGTGTTTGATGTGCAATATAAATATATTTGGATTCCTGTAGAACATCTGCGTTAACTGTGAAGGTATTTTTGTAAAAACGACTTGATTTTGTCAAAATTCTGAGAGAACTAAAAAGACATTAACAAAATCCTCGACAAAAACATATAGCGAGTCATGTCCACATAGTCTAGTTAGTAAACTCTCTTGCCAGACACAACCAAATGCTTTGGAAATATCTCTCCGTATTTTTGGATTGCTCTATCCCAAAAATGGTTGGTCTATAAGATGTCACCTGGTGATATTTGCTCGCAGAAGTGATATTGATGGTCGCTCAAGACATTAACGCATTTCAAATGGTTGATAAAATTATGTTTCACAGTTTTGTCTATGATTTTGTATGTCGCTGATAGTAAAGTTATTTATCTGTTGTCATCTGGGACATTTTTCTTGTTCTTTTTGGGAGTAGATTTAACTTCGGTCTTCTGATGGGAAGGAAAAACTGGAAAGGAAAGTTTCCTCTCGTTGGCAGAAGATAAATTCCAAAGTTACTCCAGATCAGGGATGAATCATAGGAGAAAATAAATAACTGACTTCTAAAACTGAAGGTCATCTGCGAAGGGTAAATAGTTTTAATATTTGAATTCTGAAAGGACATCATTGATAATAATGGGAAAAACAACATACAATACTTTGTACTAAATTTCACTTTGAATGTTCTGATGCTGAAAACTTCAGTTTTTCCAGTAGCACATATAGAATTTCTGTTTAACAATATATCATGATTTACTTTGTTAATCGCCTTCTAGAAATAAGTGTACTCGTATGTCACGTATATAGACCTCTAAGTACATCTTGATAAAATAAGTAAAATATTTGTGGAAGTTGATTTCTTCATCACAGAGCCAGACTGTTCCTTCATTGATACTGAAATGAAATAATAGTGAAATAAAATACAAGTAAAAACAGAACAATTGAACAAAAAATAAAAATAAAGAAATAAAAATGAAAATAAAAATAAAAAGTTAAGAGATTTCAAGCCAAGTTAGTTCACGACGTTTCGATTGTTAGTATCTACAATCGTCTTCGGGTGATGACTGGATTGATTCCTCCGAGAGATGACTGTTTCTGGGTCGTTCGAGTACTTTCACTTATCCCCTCTTTACATTTTTTCCGCTTCACTGGTTCAGTGGGAGATGACCGTTTGCCGGGAGTTGGCTATTTTTCGCTTGATGATGGGTTTCCATATGTTGCGTATATCTACGTTAGCTTGGCTGAATACACTGTTGGACAATATGTGCGGCTTCCTTGAATTTTCTCCTAAACCAATGTTCCTCTCTGTGTATGATCTCAGCTTGGGACCACTCGATGTTATGTTGATGGGTCCAAATATTCTCTGCTACTCCTGATTTGCTGGTTTCCCCTCGCTGTGTGTGTTTCTTGTGCTCAGCAATGCAAACTTTCAAAGGCCACTTAGTTTCATGAGGCCTTTGAAAGTTTGTATGATTTTCCGCACTCGCAGGGTATCCGGTAAATGCAAGTCTTGGAATCGCAGTCCGTGTTTGGTGGCCTGGTTTTCGTGAGGCTGCTACGGATAGTGTTATCGGATCTGAAGCAGGTTCTGATGTTGTACTCGGAACCAATTCTTCTTATCCTCTCCGATAATCATCTGATGTAGGAAAGTGCAAGCACTGGTTGTGACGGGTTCTCTTCCTTGCGAGGCTCCTGCTGTCTTTCAGCCAAAATATTTTCTACCATCGCTTTGGAGTAGCCATTCCGGTGAAGATCATTTTTCATGATGTTTAGTTCCTTTTTGAGACTTTCCTTTGTATCACAGTGCCCAAAATCACGGTAGAGTCTTGATGATTCCTCTTTTAGTCGATTGAACTAGTGAAATTCATCACGAAACATTGTCAATCACCTTCAAACAAACATATTATCATATGCATCACTAAATCAGTTACTGCGGATTTTTATTTGTATTATTTGTAGTTCTGAAAACATTTTTACTGAATTCCTCATACCTGGAGTTCATATTTTGAATCTGATAGTTGTTCGTGATTGTACAGAAAGTCATACCCGTGCCTCTAGTATTACTAACAGTGTTGATACATACATCCATTCTTTTCTATAACGGAGGTGTTTCGCTTTTTATCGTTTCCTCGACTCTAAAGACGAATATATTCAAGAACCCCGCGTTGTTTATTCGCTTCCTGCTGTTCTGAACGAGTTGTTGCTTTCTCGCTCTCCCTTGAACATTCATGTGTGCAACTCGCTCCCATCCCCCTGCTAGGGCATTATTCGAAGATGGTAACAAAGTATGTCGCCTGAATCATACATAGTGTTCATGACTGTTGGATATTGACTGGTTCACCATTTAATTTCTGCAACAGCTTGACATAAATACTCACCCTTCCGAATCTTTTTTCGTTCTCTCTTTCTCTTGGCGCGGATCGTGTTATGTTCCTTTTTATTGGGGGAAACATCCCGAGGGTGATTTGAAAGTACACCTGAGCGCAGTTAACGTCCTTAACAACCGTTCTCTCATCAATGGATTATTGGTCTTGTTTTCCTGGTAATGTGGCTATTCCAAGAGTAGTTTCTAGAATTCTGCTTGGAGTAATGCTAATCATCAGCGAGGGCGTACTGAGAACTTGGATTTTACTAATGAGTTTTCTATTTCATATTTGCGATTTATAAGTCACGTACTTCCGATGAACCAGAAAGTAATAAAATATTATGATCGACCTAAGCACTACAGCATAAAGCGATATTTATAGGCGTTTGTCGTAAAGTTGATCTGGTACGTTAATTTCATCTCTGGAAAAAAAATTATCGTTTAGAGAGACTGTTGAATTTCCTTTTACACTTGTTTTTTGAGTTATTTTATGTACGGAGTGGGCCACTTTTATAGGGAAACTGCTGTTTTGAATTCTTTCTGTTTCTTCTGTTTCTTGTTTCTATGAAAACATTCATAAAGCACTATTTTACGTAGAATTCAATTCTATTTAATTCAATTCTATTTTCACAAATATATGAGGTGAACTAAGGTCATTTAAGGTCAAACCGAAAAGACTACCTCAAAGTCACCTTGTCTGTACGCATGTCATGTACTCATAATGGGGAATGTTCCTCAATTTGGGTTATTACAGCAAATGCAAGTTTGAACAAAATGAAGTTGAGTTTAATTCATGAGTTTTTCAAATTCACTTCGAAAAGTATTCAAATTGATGTTTCAAATGTTGGGTTTCAATTGGATTTGTTTCTAATTTACATATTGGCAACAGCGCCTATATCAAGTTGAAATAATTTATACGTACCTAGATATTCTACTTTAAAAAAGGAAAATTATCTTGATAAATCAACAATTAAGGCAAAATATAAATTATAGTTCAATACCACCTCCACAAGCCACATAAACAACAGTTGTTTTGTTATTTATTTATGTAGAGGAAGGTTAGGTTAGGTGCATAAAATTTCATGTCACAGAATGTCTCGGAACTTGGAACATAAGTAAACAGAACAGCACGCCTCTAAAATATGTCATCTTTGTTTATCTCATACAGGTAACAGATTCATTGTCCTTTATTAGCTATAACCGATGTTGCCAAATTGTGAAATAGAAACGTATCCCTTCAAATGTTGAATGCATTATTTCATTCCTCTTTTTCAAGTATTTAAATAATTTTTTAAAGAAAAAGGTTGAAATGATAAGTTTAAAATGCGTTGTTTCAGAGTTCTTTTAAGAAAACTACTTGATTTCCGTCAGGAGGAACATTCCCTATTGCAGATTCAACAGATGAAGTACGTTAAACCTGCTATTATTCCATCTCAACCTTCTTCAACTTGTTTTTTTTTATTTATATGAAAGTAATTTGCTATGAATTATAAAGCGGATATCAACATCCTTTTGCCAACTAATTTTTCTAAAATCAACTCTAGAAAAAATTATTGATTCCGAAAGTGAAATATGTATAATATAACGGGAAATTTTTGTTTCAGGTCCCAATGACGTGAGGAAAGAGCATTGCCCGGTGCCGCCATGAAGTGGGCCTTCCAATTTTTGGTGTTCGTGGCCATGGTGGTGGCCACGGCGAAAACGGCGGCTTCTCCGAAAGAAATAATTAGGACATTTTCAGATCCGAAAGTACAAGCATTCAACCATCTCGTGGTAGACAAAAACACGGGGCGAGTTTACATTGGAGCTGTGAATCGTTTGTACCAGCTCACTCCCGACTTGGATTCAGTCATTTCCGAAGTAACCGGCCCGAAAATGGATTCCGACGATTGCTCAGTCCTCGAATGCAACACCGCGATAAATAAGAAACTCACAGACAACGTCAACAAGGCTCTCGTGATCGATTACACCACCACCAGGCTAATATCGTGTGGGAGCCTCTCCCAGGGGATTTGCTCGATAAGAAATCTACACAACATATCCGACGGAACTCAAGAAGTAAGGGAGGCCGTCGTGGCAAATAACGCGACGGCATCCACTGTGGCGTTTATTGCTCCAGGGCCTCCGAGTCCCCCGGTAACTCAAGTGATGTATGTCGGTGTGACTTTTACTCTAGGATCTCCGTACAGGTCCGAAGTGCCGGCAGTTAGCAGCAGGTCCTTGGACAAGGACAGGATGTTCGCGATAGCTCAAACGGCCGTTACGACGGGCACCAGGATGTTCGTGAATTCATTGGCAAGGGAGCGCTATCCGATCACCTACGTTTACGGGTTCGCTTCCGAGAGGTTCAGTTATTTCTTGACTACGCAAATGAAGCACACCTCCTCCAGCCAATACATCAGCAAGTTGGTGAGGGTTTGTCACGATGACGAGAACTATTATTCGTACACCGAAATACCAATTGACTGCATCAGCGAGGCCCAAGGCGGCCGCAAGTACAATCTCGTTCAGGCGGCGTACGTTGGTAAAGCCGGCTCGGACTTGGCCTCCGACCTGGGCATCACGGCACAAGACGACGTTTTGTTTGCGGTGTTCAGTGAAAGTGACCCTGTGATTGCCAACAAACCCTCCGATTTGTCGGCACTCTGTGTATACTCGCTCAAAGCCATACGACGGAAATTCATGCAGAACATCAACCAATGCTTCAGTGGAAAGGGCCAACGGGGTCTGGACTTCATCTCGCCCAGTCATCAGTGCGTGCTGACGGTGAGTTTCTTTGCTTCCAGGGTCATTCCATAAGAAATGAACCGATAGAAAAATAATTTTCAACCATAATCTGGTGATGGATTTTTATGATTTTTTGTTTGCTGATTCTACTGATTTTCAGTACGATTAGTTTCCGAGTTATTGAAAGTTGAAGATGTGACAAAATTGGTGTGATTGTTCGTTTTATTGGCTCGCTCTAGTTGATTATGAATCTAAATCGGTATCGGGAAGGGATACATACATATAAGAGAATAAATATTTAGAAATGAAATGTCGTCTCTCCCAACGTACTTATACAGTAGATTCTGGTAAATGCCTGCCGGAAAACAACTTCCCCAGCTAATACCACTTTGGACATTGAATTATGTCCAACAGACATTTTTGCCTAACAGAAGTTGGAATTGCAGATGTTTCTCGTTCTTCCAGCAGCAGAAGCACGCTGATATCAATTGAGTGGATTATCTACAGACCGGTTTCTAGGTATTACCTACCATCAGTGCAGAAAAGATAGAGTTGTTACTAATTAACAATTTTCCTGTTTGTTTGAAGGTGATTGACAATGTTTCATGATGAATTTCACTATTTCAGACTTCCATTGTCTAATATATAAAATGATTTGAAATCACCATATATATGTTGGCTATGACTGGTGAAAGTGGCGATCCCATTGGCAGTCTCTCACCTTGTGTAAGAATCAGTCCAGTCATCGCCCGAAAACGATTGTTGATACTAACAATCGAAACGTCGTGAACTAACGTGAATCTCTCAACTTTTTATTTTTATTTCTTCATTTCTTGTTCAATCGTTCTATTTTTACTTGTATTTTATTTCATTTCAGCTTATTTTTGCTTAATATAACTTATTTTCAGCTATTCATTTTTAATTCTTCTTTTTTTCAGTTGTTTTAGGAATTTCAAATCATTTTATATATTAGACAATGGAAGTCCGAACTAGTGAAACAATTTTCCTCTTAGACGAAAGTTGCATACATGCAGCCGCGTTGAAATTAATCGAGTTACAGGTACTTTGCTGTTTGGGTCGGATCTTTCCTGCACTGATGCGAGGTAATACCTCAAAACTGGTCAGTAGATGATCTACTCAATTGATTTCAGAGTGGTCCTGCTGCTGGATGAACGAGGAATATCTGCAATTGTAACCTCTGTGTGTTTGCAATTGTGAACTCTCGCATAAATGTCTGATGGATATAGTTCAATGTCCAGCGTGGTATTAGTCGGCGAAATAGTCGATTTTAGGCAGACATTCACCTGAACCAACAGTGTAGGTACGTTGGGAGAGATGTTTCGAGATTCAATTTCTAAACATTTATTATCTTATACGAATCTCAAAACTTGACCCTCCAGTCGACCTTAGGGGATACGGCTTCTCAAAAATTGAAAAATTGATTTTTTCAGAAACTCACTTCTGACAATGAAAGTAGTAAAATGACACGTTTGCATCATGCTGCCGACCTTCATTCACTTGCTACTTATATTTTTTCCATTCAACACTAATTTCCTCAACATCGTAATCGTTTCAAGTGCACTAGGTACTGTCATTGTAATAAGTTTACAAAACTAAATATTGGTCCTGTAAAATTAAACTACAAATGNTCCCCCACCCCCCGCAATTAAACTTTTAAAAGCAACAACTTGCTAATTTTCTCGATGGTGATACTCGGTTTCCATTATGTTTATGAGCGCCGTACCATTCCCTAATTCATTCTCATCAAAAAAATAATATGCTTTACCGAAATTACTTGGGCTTTTTCCCATCGCTCTATTCTAATGATCGATTTATCCAAAATGTAATTGATCTGTCACTTGCTATCGGTTTAATTGTTTAATTGGTGTTCAAAATCTCATTTGGCCCATAGAAAATTATAAAATGATAGCAGAGAGTAATTTCCTTCGATTACCTTGGAGATTTAATTGGGTCCTCCGTTCGTAGCGGAGCCATTGTTTGTTGAATTTGTGCAAAACGTTCTCTACGTTAACCGGAGCCTGTCTAGCTCATCATTGAGGGGCTTACCGATGTTATTGCAATATTGATTTAGGAGTTGAGTAGCAATTTTCGGAAAATATTCGGTACACAAGAACTAGTGGGGATTAGGTGTCTGCTGTTGAGTTGAACATCCTATTATTCTTGAAGAATCTTGCACGGTTATTAGGAAAATGTATTTCGATATATTGTAACGAATATGGAATAATAATAACGCCTTGTACTAGTTTATTCAACATTAGAGCTGTTGAGAATGTTTTCAAACTTATTCATAGATATCCACCAATAATTAGTCGAAAAAACTTGAATGAAGTTCAAAAACAAATTGAAACTGAATTCATTCCCTATACAAATACTCGATTTCGTTTGTGTTTCAAATTACTTTTTTGAAAAGATGAGGTGGCCTTCATTTATTACTAGCCACTCAGGAGGAAGATCAACCAGTTCGATCTTCCTCTTGAAGATGATCACTTGGTGATCGAAACACGTGTCGAGGTGTTGGTGTTGGGAAAAATCTCCGAATCAATCTATATCATAGTAGACAATGGAAGTCCGAACTGATGAAATGCACCACAAAACATTGTCAACCAACTTTGTTTGTTCAAAAAACGTTTGGGTGTTTCTCTGAGTGATTCGCTTGCACAATTGATTGCTATCTTCACGTGTATCAGATAATGTTTCAAGGAATGTGCGACAGATACTGGTTTTTCTGTGGCTGATATTCTATTTGTATCATTGGTATTCGTCCATCATTGTTTTTTTCTGTAATGAGTGGGCGAGGCATAGATAATAAGTTATTTAATGGGATAATTTGGCGGTAATTAGTGAAGACTCATCAAGCTTCTGAACCCACCCACCAATTAGCCAACAAGAAATAATGAAAAAATGGGAGCACAAGTGGACCATGTCGAATATTTGAATATTCAACAATTACAGTACTGCTGAAGATGGCAATCACTCGTGTTTGCGAAACGTTGAGAAACATTTACTAAAATAACCAACGCAACGTCAACATTTTCGAAAAACACCAAGATTATATTCAACCAAGATTATAGTCAAAAATGATATTAATGTCATGTTTGAATAGTCACAATAAAGTAATCAAACTTGAAAATCTCTTGTCATTTTCACTCATTCTTGTCTCCAACTGGAGCGTTTGAAAATGTGTTCCAAAGATACATCTTTTGGGTGCCAAATTACAAAATCAATTTGCAAAATTGTTGGTGTCCAAACTAATAATTATCTTCTGCATTATTCTCATTTTTTGTTAATTTTTTTTTACATTTTGCTCAGAGCTTATTCAACTACGAATCCCAATAATATTTTTTTTGAATAATAGTGTTAATAATAGATTATTTAAGAAATCTCCACCATTCAGTTCGGCTCAGATTTTTGTTTATATCAAAGTGTTCCTGTCTGAAATTCCTCTTCAAAGGAAATGTTTGTAGTTGCTCACATAAATATTAGTCATTTGTGTGTGTAAGACAGAATCCTGAGGTAAAAGGAGCTGTGCACTGTACTTGAAATGTTGTAGAGATATATGTGTAGAGTTGCAAGTTTTCCAAACTGTAGACTCAGTTTTCTGGACTAAACGTATTTCGAGATGAGAAGTAAACTTGGAGCTTTCTGGTTAATTACAGATTCTGTCTGATGGCATTATTTATTTACATAGATGGTAAACTTTTAAAAGCAACAACTTGCTAATTTTCTCACAGGAAGAGCATTTGAGGTACGTATGAGAGAACATAGAAACAGATTCCAGAATGAAAACGCCTAACAAAAAATCGGCCATCAAAAGTGTATCATTATATAACATTTTAATGAACTGATCTACCTATAATACAGAATAAAATATGAAAAGAAATTACAATGAAATCATGTTCCATTCGCTACCCTAATTGAAACTAATTATACGTAGGACACTGGCCGGCAAGGGGCTTATCGTAATCCAATAGCAATTTAGTTGGGAGAGTCTATACCTTCGTGATCGCTCGTCATCACATTTGGCGCTTGCTATACTTGTTTTTACTGGAACTCAATATATTATAGATTATATCTGGTCCTACAGGTAGTTGAATTATTCAATTATCCGACTGGTATGTAGGAAGTACCTAATATAATAATAATGGTGGTAAATTTCAAGTTATAGCAAGCGCCAAATGTGATGGCGAGGGATCCGCAGGTATAGACTCTCCCAAGTAAATTGCTGTTGGATTACGAGTACAGTGTAGTACCTATAATTAGTTTTGATGAGAATAGCAAATGGAACATGACATAACAATGCCAAACGCCAACAGCATTGGAGGACAAGTAATGATGAGCCCTCTGTACAGAGCATTTGTATGTCTCACAATTGCTGTAGTGGGAGTAATTTTGAAAATTAGTTTGTGCGCATGGCGGCGGGCTCGCCATCACGTTTGGCGATTGTTGTATTCAACTCGACATTTTCACTTGAGGAAGGTATTGTATAAGAAAACACGTGTTGCGGTTTGTGTAATATAGTGAAATTCTCTCAGTTAACTATATCAGTTAATGTTGGATTTCCATCAGTATCGACAAGTTTTATGAAATTTATTGTGACCGAGAATATATCAAAGTCGATTATCATTATTGATAATTATGACTGTGCCGGGTTTTTCTGAATATTCATAAGGCAACTTCGGCTGACGATGACGTTTGGGGGAAGTTATCTGAAAATAAGCGAATTTGAATTGTAAACCATTTTCGAATTTGAATAGGTCGATAATATTCCTTCTCTATTTGAGATTTCTGAGGCCAATATCAATTTGAAAGTTCGATAAAATTACCTGCATCCTAACTTTCAACCGTAATACTGTGATGTATCGACTAGTTTCAGTTAGCTTCGTTTGAACCTGTTCCTGATTTGAATTTACAGTTGAAATATATCAGATGCGCATATTCAAGCGTATTATGTATATGGAAACATGTCTTGAATAGTTGGAATACCTCCAGAAGAGACACTTGAAGTTAGGAACAGTTGATTTCGAGGGTGATTTAATTCAAGCTGAGTTTCTGGATTTCAATTGGAA